CAACCCTTTCTCCTGGTACAGTCCTTGTTAGTTCCAGTAGACATCTCAGGTGGTAAGCAGGGGTTTTCTCGTAATTGGCAGCCCCTTTTGTCCTGCTCCTCCTCCTTTTATAGCTTTGGCACAAGGCGGGAGTCTTTTGTCTCTTTAGGTCCCCACCCCTCTTCTAAAGGTAAAAGTACCAGATTTAAGATGGATTTCATTATCAGATGACATGTCACTGTAAGACCCCTAGACTCCATTCCCCATGGGCTGGCCTACACATACACAGGAAGGCTTTCAAGTAACGAAGGCCATTTACAACTGATTGTTTCTGGAGCACCCTTAATCGCCTTCACTTAATATGTTTACATCAGTGATGCAATTTTTTTATTCTCCTAACTCCAGATATAGAAATAATACATGCAAACAAATAGGATGAACACACTTAGTAGATTACAAGCTTTCTAATGACATCATACAAGGGGTATTTAGCATAAAGCATATTCCAGTTATGTCATATTCATAAGCATACTTCCATAAAGTATATGAAGTGCAACATCACACTATGAACCACCACAGTCTAAGCGTATTGTTGATCGTATTAGCCTTTTTGTCACAGTGTCTCATTGAAAGCTGGTGTTCGACCAGTTATTCTCCACAACTCCCAAATCGGTCAGTCACTGCTTCCCAGGATAATCCCCCATCTAGTAAGTGTGGCCTACGTTCTAGTACTTGGCTATATTTGTTTACATTTAGCCATATTAAAATGCATATTGTGTGCACCCAGTATATGAAGCAATCCAGATTACTTTGAATCCGTATTCTGTCCTCTTATTTCCTACTCCCCCAATTTTTGTGCTCTTCAAACTTTCAGTGTTTGTTTTCTTCCAGGTCATTTATAAAAATGTTCAATAGTGTCGGACCAAGAATCAATCCCTTATGGGACGTGTTTAGAAACATCCATTTTATAGTTACATTCTGAGACCTATCCATTAGCCAGTTTTAATTGCTGTGCTATATTAATTTTAGATAATTCTAGTTTTTAATCAAAATGTTGTATGATGCCAAGTCAGACATCTGAAAGATGAATTTAGGCCCGTCATCTAGCCCTCCTTTCATTCCAGGACCAACACAGAGCACCTCCAGTGCCATAAGGGACAAAGTCCCTCATGCAAACCTGTGAACTTCGATCTTTCTCCTTTGCCTGAGCCACCAGCTTCTTGGCAAGATCTCATGCAAGAACCTCTCCAGTTATTGCTGTGGTGTTACTACAAGCTTTTCTAAAGGACCTCTTAGAAGCTTCAGGACAAATTATGTCTACACTGACTTAACCTACAGACTCATAAGGCATACCTTCAACCTTGGCACTGACACCATTCCAGCGTTGGCATCCTCAACCAGCCCATATCTCAGCCTATGCTACAAAGACACTGGCTCTCCTGTCACCTCTTCCTAACCATCATATAGAGCAGCCTGACAAGGATGACTGGAAAGATGACACCCTGGAAAACCCATAAGTCTCCCTGGAGAACATCAGAGCTGCTGTCTTGCCAGAGGACCAGATTGGGCCTTCTTCAGTGTCCGAGTACACAGTTTCAAGAGCTCTTAGAGGATAACAGACCCTAGATGTTGATAGGGTTGGAAGACTCCAGGGCAGGGATCACTGTGTTTTCATATCCTGTAGTCACGTCCAAAATAGGAGCTAGCTCTCCCTCATGGTTCTGTTTTCTGCTAGGGACAGCCCATCTCTAAATGTATAGACAGGATAAATCCACTAGCAGCTAAGGGCCACTAGTTTTTAACGCCGCATCCTGTAGCCAACATTATAGGTGTCTCTCAGAAGAGTGAGAGGGAATAGTCACCTTCTGCCATCTGTCATCCTCCCTCCCCCCCCCCCCCCCCCCCCCCCCCCCCCCACGGACAGGGAGGAATGGAAGTTGGACATAATTGGAAGAAGAGCATATTCATTTGACTCTCTTAGTATCAGGATACCCAATTACATGACTATAATATCCTACTCCAGTCATGCCTTTTGGGATGCCATCTCATGCCATGGATTCCATTCCAGAGAAGTAAAAGGAAGCACCAAAGACCCTAGTGATGAGGGTCATATCCAGGCCAAGCATTTGCTAAGAGCTGCCTGTGATTCTTCTGACTCAAGTGACCTAATTATGGCCACGGAGGGGGAGGGCTTACCAAGATATTTCTAGGTAGGCTTTTCTGGCTTTACATCAGAATCACAGGACAAGATTGAAGATCTTCACTTTGAGAGCATTAGCCTCTTCAGTGAGAGAGCAGTAAAGGCATCAAGGCCTGGATCTTTGGATCTGACACAGATCTCATCCACATATCCCTCTGCTTCTGACATCAGAGGCAAACACACTCAACGCCAGGAGTTCCAACCTCAGAAGTGATAGAGTCTTAAATCTGCTGCTGGAGAAAGACCCCCAACAACATAGGGGCAAGATTCCTTGATGCTACACATTAGTCCTCTACATCTGCTTGCTAGCAGGGTCTTATTGGGTCTCATGCTCTTACCTGTCTTGGAGTGGAATTGCATAATTCTTCCACTGTTAGATTGGGATCTGATTACAATGCTCTGTCAGCTGCTTATCACCATGCAGATGTGACAGAAACCTGTGTCCAGTGATCTACAGTGACCAACAACCTTTTTGCAACAAGTATGTCTATTAGCAAATGGAACAAAGCATCAAAGAAAATAGACAATGTGCATATTTAGACTCATTTAATCTTGCACTTCACTACAAGCTAATATAGATGGGCTTACCTCATGAGCTACTGGAATAGAACATGCCCAACTTAAATTCTTTTGGTAAGCCCTGGAGCTCTGGGGACCCAGCCTGGTCTTCATTTTACTTCCAGAATGCACCTCCTAGTCAGTTTTTTCTCTCTCTCAAGGACTCCCTTTTCTCAAAGCCCCGCCATTCTGGTGTGCCTGAGCCTAACTACCGAATTGCCTTTATTACAAAGCCTAACTGAAGTCTTACCTTTGCCTCAGACTTTTATTCTTCCCCATCCCCTCCCCAATTGACTAGCCAGGCTATCTGAGAGCAACCCTGTGAAGGTTGCTCTGATTTTCAATCACTAGTCTTATGCCTGGGGGGAATGTGCTGAAACACTCTGCTTTCTCTAAAATTGTTTATATCATCTCAGAAATCTGTACATAAAACAAACCTTGGAGTACAGATCTATAATCACCCCTGAGCATCCCCCACAATTGCCAAAATAGCTTTTAGAACTTTTTGGGCAGCACGCAAAATCACACTTAATAGTTTGTGTCCCAAAAATATCTGGGCTTATTCCGGTTATAAGCAAATTCCTTCTGGTTTAAACCATATTGTTTAAAACTGAAATAGTTAACTACAAGTAATCTCAGGTTGTATTTTTCTTGGCCCCTAGAAAAGGATACAGTTAATTTAAGATGAACTCGCAAAAGGGTGCCTTTTTATTTACTTTTCTCAGTATTTTCCTTTATGTGCCTATTTTTGCAGTAACTCTATTCCAAGTTGTTGCACAGTAAACAGTTGCACTCCAGAACAATCAGTGTAATATTAGTGTCTAGATGATTGATGGTTGGGGTGGAGAAGACTATTTGCTGCGTTCTTTGTTTAAAAAAAAAAATTAATCAATAGCTCAAAACTTTCCACACACTTTATCAGTTTTATTTTTTTAGGTGAGGAGGTGGTCTCTGTTCACCGTTGCTGCAAATGCACAGCATGTGTTGGGAACAATAATGGAGGTTGGAATCACACTATGCTTGAATTTCTTATGAGACCTCATGGTGTCAGAAAACATGTTCTTGGACCATGGGGTCAGCATAAATGATATAGCATGAGACTTTATAACTGCAAGAATAAAATGGAAACAGATGGCCTTTTTAGAAAAAACTAGTTTATTTCAAACATGTTGAATGACTATATTTGTGCAAATTAGTGTATTGGATATGAGAACAAATCATGTCAAACCAATCTGATAGCTTTCTTCGATAGGATA